GATCGGTACTACGGTGCGAGGGTGCGTGATCGCTACACGGTGCGAGGTGTGCATGATCGCTCACTGCGGGTGTCAGTGATCGGTACACGGTGCGGTGTGCAGTGATCGGTTTCTACGGTGCGAGGAGTGCATGGATCGGTACTCGGTGCAGGTGGGGCAGTGATCGGCTACTACGGTGCGAGGCGTGCAGTGATCGCTACTACGGTGCGAGGTGTGCAGTGATCGCTACTACGGTGCGAGGTGTGCAGTGATCGCTACACGGTGCGAGTGTGCAGTGATCGTACAACGGGTTCGAGGGTGCAGTGATCGGTTACGGTGCGAGGTTGCAGTGATCGCTACTACTCGGGTGCGTAGGTTGGGGCATGTTGAGATCGCTACTACGGTGCGAGGTGTGCAGTGATCGCTACTACGGTGCGAGGTGTGCAGTGATCGCTACTACGGTGCGAGGTGTGCAGTGATCGGTACTACGGTGCGAGGCGTGCAGTGATCGGTACTACGGTGCGAGGTGTGCAGTGATCGCTACTACGGTGCGAGGTGTGCAGTGATCGGTACTACGGTGCGATGTGTGCAGTGATCGCTACTACGGTGCGAGGTGTGCAGTGATCGCTACTACGGTGCGAGGTGTGCAGTGATCGCTACTACGGTGCGAGGTGTGCAGTGATTGGTACTACGGTGCGAGGTGTGCAGTGATCGGTACTAACGGTGCAGGAGGCAGTTTATTTGCTACTACGGTGCGAGGCGTGCAGTGATCGGTACTACGGTGCGAGGTGTGCAGTGATCGGTACTACGGTGCGAGGTGTGCAGTGATCGGTACTACGGTGCGAGGTGTGCAGTGATCGGTTCTACGGTGCGAGGTGTGCAGTGATCGCTACTACGGTGCGAGGTGTGCAGTGATCGGTACTACGGTGCGAGGTGTGCAGTGATCGCTACTACGGTGCGAGGTGTGCAGGGGATCGGTACTACTGTGCGAGGTGTGCAGTGATCGTACTACGGTGCGAGGTGTGCAGTGATCGGTACTACGGTGCGAGGTGTGCAGTGATCGGTACGACTTGTGCGAGGTGTGCAATCCAGCGCAATGCATCCTTCAAGCATGCATTGTGATGATTGGTTTTGAAAACCGACAAGTTGAAGAATTGAGACACTTTTGCATCATATGGGAATCTTTACTGAAGAAACGTTTCGCCACACAGTGGCTTCATCAGTCCAATACAAAGTAGGAATGGGTAAGGAGAAGAGGAGTTTGAGGTAATCAGTCCCTCAGCCTGGAATCGATGTGTTCAGTCCATCACTCTTGTAGAAAGTACAACACAGGACCAGAGAGGTGGCTTATATACTGCAGTCAGGTGAATCGAAGCAGGAGGAGGTAGGATCACAGTGGCACCTTCCACTAGTGTAAGTAGGTCGTCGTCCAAAGGTTGGACATATGTTACATAAGTGTCTCAATTCTTCTATACTGAAAGCTATAGAAGGAAGGGCAGAAAGGAATTTCATTCGCCAGGGAAAATATTTGCTGATGCTGGTCTTATCTATATTAAGACCTGCTCAACGGAGCTTTAAGCCATCTGACAGAGGATTTCCGCTGGCTTACCCGTCTACCCGGTAAACCTTATTAAACATACCACATTATCAGTGCTTGCTATACCAGCCTTTGAACTTTTCTGCTCAAAAATGAGTCTTGATATGACGACCAGGTGATAGATGCGAGTATTGCAGTTATAGTTGGAATAAAGCGAGAAACTCGAGAAGTGCTGTGATCTCTCAGTCCGAGAAAAAGCAAAAACTTTGCCCGAAGCTAGCACCAGAAACATGGAACATCTTTAGTAGGATACCTGAAGGATATTTTTTGGGGTCAACGCCCCAGCGTCTTGGTTCGAAGAAGCGATTTGAGAAACTTATCAAGTTCCTTCTTGAAGACAACCAGAGGTTTGCTGGCGATTTCTCTTATTCAAGAAGGGAGATCACTGAAAAGTTGAGAACCTCTGACACTCAAGTTCTTACTGTACTCTTCGCGCTACTGCTTTTTTTATTGAAGGGACATTGCACTGTCTGCCAAGTCACTTTCATACGTTTAGGACCAGTCCCTCCAAGATTTTCCAGGTATAAATTATGCCTCTTTCTCATCTATATTCCAAGGAATGCAGTTGAAGGGACTTCAAGGTGTTTCCAGAAGATCAGAAGTTTGAATATATATGGCAGTGAAGGTTCTATACAAGTTTCCTAGCTCGGCAATCTGACCTGCTTGAAGTGAACCGTTAATATGCAGCAATATTCCAGCCTAGAGGGAACAAACAATTTGAAGAGTATTAGCACTGACTCAGCATTTTTTTTTGTCTTGAACGTTGTAGTTATCCAGCCTATATCTTCCAAAGAGGAGCAACTGAAACTTGTCCTCATTAAATATCAAGCTGTCTGTGGCCCACTGTAAGACTTAGATTTATATCCACTTGAAGATTCAGTGTGTCTTCGACGGATGCAACTCTTATATTCAGGGGGTTATCAGCAAAAGATTCTTTTTATTTAACAAAAACTGGATACGTGAGTAGTGTGTTGCATCAACAAAGATGCTACGATGCTGATTTATGGCACTATGTCAGATACAAGAATGAGAAACAGAAGTGGAGCAAGTACTGTGCCTTGAGAAACAATGTTCATTGTGATAGCCTTTGAGCTCACTCTTTAAAATTATGTGGGTTCTATTCGTTAAGTTAATTATCAATGTGCCCATTTTTCCAGTTATTCCTTTTGCACACATTATGTGCACAATTAAACCATGGTCACACCTGTCTTGGGGTTTTACCATATCAACGTACACTATCTCAGTGCAGCGCGTCTTTCAGTATATACAAGACCATGTAATGGTCTACAAATCGAGACAAGCGACCTGCTATAAACCACATACTCCCCTAGACTGCAATTTTTGTGATTCCACGTGATTAAAAGCCTAGTTTCTTAGTACCCATTCAAATATTTTCACAAGTAAAGTTTGCGCTATTCATCTATAGCTTTTTGTGACTGTTTTACTGCCATCTTTGTCGAGTGGGGAAATATCGGTGGTTCTTAATTACTGTGGGAGTTTAGTTGTGCCACCTGAGCGTCTAGTTTCTTGGGTACCCTCAGCTCATCCTGTTAGCGGTAGCGAAAAAACAGAAAAACAGTATTACAGAGGTCACAATGGGTCGTTGTTTAATATAGTTTATGTACACAATACAGTATGGAATACAATCTCAAAAAAAAAAAAATACATCTTACTGTCACTAAAGTCATTGGTCATAATTGGGTTGCAGTCTCTACAAAACCGTTCATTTATCCAGTCGACGCAAAATGTGGATACAACCTCAATATTTCGGGTATTTTATCAAGAACAATGAGGCGTTTTGACATATCTTGTAAACTTTGCATGAATATCTCTGAAAGGTTGGATGCTTGGACACTTAAGATATAACGTTGCAGTGTATGCCCCTTTCTGTCCACACACCGCATTTTATATCAATGACATCTCTATACAAACAGCACTACCAGAGATACTTACAGCCTAGCCTTAGTCTAGCAGCAGCAACACCATCTTACTGACCTTGCTAGTTTCGCCATGGATATGTTTGACTTGACATTTCATGATTGACAATAGATCTTATCCGTACTTTTCCACTTTCTTCAAGCTCGTTTTTTACTGTGGGATTACTTCCCGTATCTAGGGTCCTTTTATATAGAGATAATGGTTTCTTGCAATTTTTGTTGAAAGAACCAACAACGTTTTGCAATAAGTCTGGATGAGACTATTCCCTGAATAAACTGGCACCTGGCAGGAAATTTCAGCTTGAAATCAGTCTGATAAAAATTTTGTTCCTCCCAGTCTTGCTGATGGAATGCACAACAAGCACGAGCCACTGACACTTATTCTCCAGACACAACAACTTAGTCAGGATGCCGACGGCTCCCATACACAACACGGGCCATGCAAGAGGAGTCACAACACCAGGTACGCCATACAAACGTAAGAACCCGGACAAACCCTCGGACACACTAGCCACCTCAACCTGTATAACCAAGGCCGAGGAACTCTTCAACCCTAGCTCCATCATGTCTATATCCTCTTTCCTCTGCTTCAGCAAGATTTAACGCGTCTCAGAATGGGCGGAAAATTTTTTATTTTATTTTTAATAAAAGCGACTATTGTTAGGGCTTCTATAACTGTTAGTAATTCTATGATTACTTCTGAAAAATTTACTCACAGGAACAAAATTAAATAAATCTCACATTAATAAACTTTACTGGCGGACACCCTCTCTGCCAAGCACTCAGACGCTGCTTCAAGAGTCACTCTATCGAGGCCACCTTCAGGCCACCTGTCAGGTGCACCCTGTCAGGACACACCTGCCAGGCGCACCACCGTCAGGACACACCTGCCAGGCGCACCACCGTCAGGACACACCTGCCAGGCGCACCACCGTCAGGACACACCTGCCAGGCGCACCACCGTCAGGACACACCTGCCAGGCGCACCACCGTCAGGACACACCTGCCAGGCGCACCACCGTCAGGACACACCTGCCAGGCGCACCACCGTCAGGACACACCTGCCAGGCGCACCACCGTCAGGACACACCTGCCAGGCGCACCACTGTCAGAACACACCTGCCAGGCGCACCACTGTCAGGACACACCTGCCAGGACACACACCTGTCTTAAACATCGAGTATTCGAGTTTATTTAACATCTATAATTTACCCTATTCTAAATTATAATCACGAGGGAGCGCTAAACCCGTAGGGATTATTAGCGCCTGTAGGGAGGGATGGAATTTATTCAGTTAATTCAGGGAACTGGAACACAGATCCAATTCCCTAGATAAAGAGCCCCTCACCAGCGTCAAGGAGCCTCTTGAGGGGTCACTTCTAAATGGGATTATGAAATCCTACCTAACTACCTTGTATTTTAGTTAATCTGAATGCTCACTCTCCAGCTTTATATACGACCCCTAAGGGTCGTATAGAAAGTACGAGTGGAGATGTTGCGGTTCTGGAGGTGGGAAGTACAGTGTCTGTACTCTGAAGGATAGGTGGAGATGTGGCTCAGAAGGCACTTCTGACCAAACAGCTAGTGAATAAGTCATGGTAAACCTATTATCTTTGAGCTATCCTCATATTTTCCAAATCTTTTTCAAGCACTCCTGCCATCTTTCACCGAGGAAGGGCGACTCGACAAAGAAATATTTTAACTGTCGATCACTCAGTGTTGCCAGAAGTGCGCTGGCATCACAGTTCATATGACCCTCCTAACAGCAATATCCCTACCCCTGCTTCAGAGTACAGGCACCGTACTTTCCACCTCCAGTACTCAAGTCCAGCTAACCGGTTTTCCTGAATCCCTTCATAAGTATTACTCTCCTCACACTCTGACAACACGTTAAATTATATATATATACAAAAAAAAACTTACCTCCACTCCTAATACGTTCACACAAGCCTACTGGATGTCCAAGCCCCTAGCACTCAAAACCTCCTTTCCTTCCCTCCCTTCAGCCTTTCCTAGAACTACCCCTACCCCTTCCCTCCGCCCCAAATTTATACGCCTTCCTGTTGTTCTCCATCCTCTCAATTCCTGGAGGTAGTGGTGTATTCATCAGAAAACAAGACAATTGTCTCTTGATGCTGGTCTTGCATCAAACCATAACCCGCAACTGGTTAGTCATCTGGCCTGGCGGAACTTTGTTTACACTAGAAAACCAGAACCACTTTAGTGGCACTAAGATGAAACTTCCTGCCTCGTCCGGACAATAATTAAGGGAGCTCAAATAGATATTGGTTTTACTGGCGTCGATGATGCTCGTGCAAGCAGCAGATCCCGGGGCAACTTGCTGCTGTTTGCAATGTCTGCCGAGGAGAGACAGGCACCTAGCAACATCTGTTGTTGGGGCAATGGATGAATTCCGTACTATGTTTGTTAACTGCTCATTACTCTGTAATTTGTCTATGATTGTAATCATGTCATAACGTGTTTATCATTCATTACCTTTGAAACTTGTCATGATTGTGACCAGCTCTACCTGGAACTCATTACCTTTATAAATTCTCATGATTAATGTGTTTGATTCATTACCTTTGCAATTATTCATGTGTGACCAGCTCTACCTGGAGCTCATTACCTTTGTAACTTGGTCATGATTATGACCAGATCTAGTTCATTACCTTTGTAACTTGCTCAGCTATCAAAACTTTGGAGTCCAGTCCCTGGACCAATTATGTACCTCTGTAATCTTTTGACTACCGCCCACAGGATGGGTATGGAGTGCATAATAAACATATTAAACTAACTGGCGTCTCAAGTGTTACCATGTGGGTTTGTCGTGTTTTATGAATAAATCAGCACTGATAAAAATGGCGAAGCAAATTATACATCAACACGTGTAAAGGTGTTTATGTAATATTTGTACAATATGAAAAAAATTAATTTTTTTTTAAACTACACAATACTTTTTATACCTAAAAAGTTACATGTATTGACTGCAGCACTTCTAGTTGATCTGGTCTTCTGGTTTGAGCATTGAAACTTACACTGCCCTCCAGTTCTCTGCTATTGTCACATGCACTAGGTGCCTAGAAACTTATATTCCATTTTTCTGGCAAACTTTACTACCTAGCTTCTAGCTCACTTCCAATCTGAAAAAAAATGTAAGTAGTAAAACGGCACTAAAAATGCAGGAGCAAACAGAAATCAGTACTGTACAGGAGAGGTAGAAATTAATATACCAAAATCTGGAGACAGAAACCTCTCAGAGCACAACCGCTATGACAAAAATTGTTCCACAGTCGTATCATGAGGTAAACGTCAGCGATCAGATTAAAAATAATGGCAAAGTACTCATAACAAACGACAAGCATTCGATGAACTCAGCAAAGAAAGTTCAAGAGGCCCTTAACTGAACATGTCAGAGCTGGTGAATGGAAGGCCAGAACGTGGTACTAAGTACTCTAGGTATACAAGAGAAAGTGTTTAGGAACTTAAACGAGATTTAAGTAGTGAAGACAATGGTACTGGACGGAATGACCCTGGGTGCTGAAGAGTCATAGCAACATAGAGAAAGAGTTATTCGACAACTGTTAGATGATCAATACACAACTATGTTCAAGGTGATGTTACACAAGAAGCACTAAAGTACGCATCATTAGCTGTAATGAGAAAATAATAAATAAGAATAACATACGAATAAGATAATGAAGCTACTCAAGGTCTGGGATTACAAGTTCACACAAGAACGAGCCAGTGATAAACTTCAGTGTGATGACAGCGAATGTAAACAAAGAAAATAGATGAAAGTTCTTATGTTCGATAGGAATGAGTGTAGAGCAATGTACATGACACAAGGAACGTGTGAAGATAAACTCCATAGAAAGTGTAATTATGACAAAATTGAGGTCAGAGACATCACACCGGCCATATTAACCCTTATTATTCCAAATACACTCAATACAACAAACTAACCCTAATAAAAAGTTCAATAGGTGCTTATGATTAGAAATAAATATGTCTAATCCACAAATCGTCATAATTATGACAACCAAAACCCCAACTTTCAACACTAGCATCTATCTTCGAATTCTTTAAATAGGTCAAATAGGTTAACAGGCGAAGCCCAGGAAGCAAACCTCATTCCCATCAAACTCATGTAGATTGATATAGATTATTATTATAATCAAGGGGGAAGCGCTAAACCCGGAGGATTATACAGCGCCTGGGGGGGGGGATGTGGAAGGCATTCAGGCTTAATTCGGGGAACTGGAGCACAGATCCAATTCCCTAAATCAAGAGCCCCTCACCAACATCAAGGAACCTTCCTTGAGGGGAGATTGATATAGAAAACAAGTTATCTTGGGAGTCTCGTACCGGACCCTGTGTGCTGTACCACACCAGCTGAGGGACCTTGACGGCGGCTCTTTCGTCCCTGAGTCTAACCCATCACCCGGTAACACAAACAACGCCTCACCTGCCGCCCCAGCCACCCACGTCCTCCCATTGTGTGGCAGTGACGCAGGGGAACATAAGAGGACGTGAAGAGCATTGTAGTTATGCAGGGGATCCTGGCCCACACGGGGGGAACATTGTAGAGACGCAGGGGGGGGGGGTCC